AAATGATTCAACATCATTTTGATGTCTTCATCGACCTTCATTTTAAAATTCTTATAATTGAAAGTGAGAATATCAATCTTCAATTTCTTCACTTAAGTTGTACCTTCATGTATGGCTTCAAGCTTGTTCCAAATCTTTTTTTTTTTCATTTGAGCAAGAAGACACCCTACTATATTCATCAGCGTCTAATGCAAAAAATATGATGTTCATGACCTTTACATTGAGTTAAACTAGTCTTCAGTCTTCATCGATCCATTCTGACTTGACCTTCGGTACAACAAACTATCCTTGCTTTTTAGAAGGAATTGATGCTCCGTTGGTGATGACATCACACACCAAATAATCAATGGCTTCAATAAATAACATCATTCTGTTCTTACAAGAAGAATAGTTGGCACCATTAAAATACAGAGGCTTCGAAATGGATTGAGACTCAACGAAAATGCCGGAAGTAGATGGAGTGGCCATTGTAGAGGAATTGATTAACTTCTTCCAAGGACCTTCTCAAGAGGATGTTAAGCCTTCCAATGAGATTAGCTCTAATTCGAATTGTTGAGTCAATCGAACCAATGAAATAACCAAGAGGGGTGAATTGGAAATTAAAAGAATGATGAAAGCTTTTTGTAAGAAATTGAAAATTTTAACACAAGCAATCTTAGAGTGGTTCAACTTTTTTAATGAAGTCTACATCTACTACCTTAGCTTCCACACTAAGGATTTCAACAAAGTTACTATTTTTTCAAACCTTTTAGGACAAGGTGTAACCTTACAATACACTTAGATTCATACCCCAAAGTCTCAAGTGTACAACCCTTCCTAAGAAGAAATTACTAATAACAAACTTAGAAAACCTCATTAGGAATGTGTTTGCACAATTCAAGAACAAAAAGAACACTTAACAAATGAAACAAACGAGTACAAAAGTGTTCTTTGAAAGCAAAAAGAATATTGAAGAATGTTAACTTGATTTTGGCTAAATATGATTGCTTTGGCTTTCTCTATGATATCTTGTCTTCACATATGACTTGAAATCTTGTTTTTATAACCCTTTGTTCAATTCTAGTCATTTAAGTTGTTGTGGGAGTTAATAGAGCCGTTGGGATAAATTTCCTGTAATAAATACTTCCCAAACACCTTGAATATCTGTACTCGGGCTTGGAGTATCGATACTGCCTACATTAAATATTAAAATATAGCAGTTGGTGAGAGATGAGTATCGATACTCCAGTTAGAGTATTGATACTAGTATCGATACTTAAAGAGTATCGATATGAAAATAGTCTACTAGAATCGTGCTTGTCAAAAACTTAAATGGAGTATCAGTACTAGTATTGGTATTGTAGTGTAATTTTACACATTAATATTGGTGGCAGTACCGGTACTGTAGTGTATTTTTACACATTAGTATCGGTGCCACATTAATAATATCAGTACTGTTCTTGCAGTATCGATACTCTAGGGTTAAAAAATGATTTTTTACTCGATTAAGATCCGAAACCCTTTGTAAAAAATGTTTGAAAATGATTTCCAATATATGACTTAAGTTTTTCAAAAGAGTAAGGAGTAAAGGTGAACTTTTTACTTTAAAAAGAGTTTTATATTTGAATGGTTGAATCGAATATAAGTTTGAAAACTGAAGTAAAAATAATCTTAAAATTTTCTTTAAACTTATTTACTTTTGGTATATTAAAAGCTCAAAGCATGGTTCAACAAAACAATACCAATATTGTTCGTCTAGTAGCCTAAAAACAAGGAGTTTTAGATTAGGGTAGTATCAATACTCGATCATAGGGTATCGATACCGTTAGGGTAGTATCCATACTTGGGGAGGAGTATCGATACTCATTTTAGATTACTAATTCCAATAGCCAATTTTGGTATCAATACTCATAAGGGTATAAATATCAAGGGGGAAATATCGATACCATTCTTAGGGGTTATTTTTCAAAACATCGAAGCTAAATTCGGTATTGATACTCAGGGTAGTATCGATACCCCTAACAAAAAAGTATCAATACTCTAAATAAGGGTATTGATACTACCCATTAACTTTACAGTTTCCAATAGTCGTCAGTATTGATACCACAAAGTAAATATCGATTCCCAGAGGTCAATATCGATACTCAGACATTCAGTATCGATACCATCGTACATTTTTGGGTAATAAACTCAAAGGGATTTAAAGTTAGAATTGATGGGTCCAATAGCACTAGAATTCCATCAAATAAAACTACAAGTGAGAATCTTAATGATATTTAGTTAACAATTAGGAACAATATCAACGAGGATTACATAAGACTAACCTTGTTTGATGCTTGAGAAATAGTCAAAACACTCGAGTTACTTTAGTAGATGACGATCATCGTGGCATATAAAATATTTAGTTGTCCTAGTTGACGTGTGAGGTTAAAATATAATGAGCTTTTTAATTATTTATTGAATTTTTATTTCAATAAACTTGTATTCGAACTGAAAATTATTTCTACATATATAATTCCTGTAAGTTGAAAGTCAAAATATGCATTTTCAATGACGGCTGAATTAATTTATTTCTTGAATACTTTTGACATTTTGTTTTCTATCTGCATTTCGTTTTCTGGCTGAAAAGCTAGTACTGAAACCCTAAAAAAAGAACTAGTATGTTGTCTTTGCATTTTAGCAGTCATGTCATCGTTACTTTGTTTGTAATGCTTAAAATTCAAACTTTAATTTGAGATCATAGAGGCGGCAAGTTGAGGAATCAGAAATATTAAGCATTGATGTGGAAGAAAGGAACCAATATAACATTCCCGGATAAAGGAAACGATCGAGCAGCAAAATCAGCTTCCGACAGACCTTGTATTTGTTAACCATCTGTGTGTCACTTGGAGGTACAACAATAAACCTGCTTATTCTTGATGGCGTCGTTGCCTGTAACCGGTATTATCAACCCTGGTTATGAGCTTGTCTTCGCTAGTTAACGGGTGCCAATCCCGAAGGAGCCTGGTAATCTTGATAAGGGGTGATCATAAGATCAAATTTGAGCTGAAATTCCCTACAAAGTTGACACCGCCAGAGCAAATAGAGGGACTGAAACGGGCTCTAGTGGGGGTGAAGTAGGAGGAATATCTCATATGCACCACCAAAGCCATTGTTCAGGCTGAATTGAAACGCCCAAGCTGTAACTTTACCCTAATATCGGATTTTCTTTTATTTATTTATTTTCTTCCTCTGTTGTATTGTGTAATTCATATATTCTTGAGGGACACGCGTTGAAATTGTATACGCAATGTATAATCGTGTTTATATATTTGTAATTGTAAACTCTTAGAGCTGGTAATATAAGGATTTATACATATATCACTATCAACTTGAGTTAGTTGAATCTCCTCGCATGGCCGATATCAATCACGAGGGTTTTAAATTTGCATGAATAACTGATACCGACTATTTTATTATCATTCTTATTTAAATAAAGAAACTATGTTATGGAAAAAGAAATTCATAGAAGATTTGACGAGAGCTAGGCTACATAAACGCTGGGTTTACAAGAGGATGGAAACTAAAAGCCTCTACTGTGGGGAACATCTTTTCGCCAGGCAGGTTGCACGGTTCCTACGGTTGTTCCGTAAATTTGAGGTCCATTAACAAATGGTTGGCCTGTGGAAGGTGAACCAGGCGGAGGAACCCATCAATTCCCGTGTTGACCATGAACATGCATGGCTGGTAATGTCTGGTGGGGCAACTGATGAGGTGCATGTATCGTCTGTTGAAATCTAAGAACCTTGCTTTGTGGGGGCTGCAGATGATGCTGTTGAGATGTTTGAGGCTGCCATTTAGGTATATCATCTTCATCGTCATTCCACTGTCACATCGAAACCCCTACAGGTCCATTATTACTATTTGATTGTCCATACTTCTGTATCAGCTCCCTCATTTGATGAACAGGGCGACATGATGTTTGACTATGTAAAGGAGAAGAGGCCATCCCAACACGCTGAGTTTGGTAACCAGTGGGGTATTTCAGGCCCGACGGGTTTGAATCACCCGAGAAATTGAACTCAGGTAGGTCATCTTCGTACGGGATGCAGCAGGGCCGAATCCCGGGGGTACATCGTTGTCGCCGTCATCATTAGAAGGGGCTAAGGAATGTAGAGGAGGTCCAACATGGGTAACACTAACAGAATTGTAGGTTTTGGTGGGAAATTAGTATTCATGTTAGTAATAGCATCATACTTTTCATGAGGTCTAATAGGAGTAGAAGTGAAGTGTTGCCTTTTGGAGGTGTATTTATGGTGTGAAGTTGAATTGGGTGAAATTAATTGAGCTCTTCCCCATACAACAACACCAATTAGACCATTGTCAATAGCATTAAGAGCCTGAAGTTGGTCCATGGGGAGGATTTTAGTCGGCCTTTCAAGAGTTTTAGCGTATGGAGGACAAAATATATTTCAACTCCAGGGCTAGCCTCAGCAAAACCCACTCTCCAGTCCAAAATATATGAATCAGCCGCCTGCACGAGGCCAGCATTTTAAGTTACCACATGACAACCCTACAAATAATAAGATAAAAGACATAATCTTCATTTCCATCTTTCATATATTCTTTAGCTCAAGAAGGCTCCCAAACTCTCTCTCGGTTGATCCCTCCTTGCTAACAACATGAACCACCTGCAAAATTGCATCAGTTTAGCGTGTTCACTTACCAATTATAAAGGCTCGTTTTTAACCCCAAAAACATACAAATCTAACCAAGGCAAATTTAATTTCTCCTAACTAAACTGGTTTATTTAGTTGCTTCAGGGATCTCAAATATTTACTCTTCACTATTTTTATGTTTCGAGCTTACAGAACATTTGACTTGCCAAGGGAGATGAATTTGAACAATATTAGCGACATTTTGTACCTTGACTCAATTTCCTGCGGAATTCGTTTGTACTAGGCGATGTTTACTGTTTTCCAGATATTCATCGCTCAACTAAGATTTTTGTACGCAATGCCAATCAGTTGATGTAGTCAATCTTTTCACTAATATATGTTGTTCTCCATGTTTCTTGTTCAAATCAAACTAGGAATATTGTTCAAGTTCCATCTCTTTCGTCTTTTCAATTTTTACGTTAAGGCTTAATAAATTCCTAGTGACCCAATGCTTATCAATGCTCCATAAATGAGATTTAACCCTATACTGAACAAAAATTTACAAATGGAAGACAAAAACTGGGATAAAAAAAGATTTTTTGGTATCCAAATTTTCTTTTGGGAAACAATATGCAGTACAGGAATTTACTGCAGTTTAAATGAACTTGATATACCATAACAGCACGACTCCGGGTCATAGGAAGCTCTTGGAGAAACTTCTCGAACGCATCAAGTCTAACTCGGCCCATAATATCAAGAAGGCTTGGCCAGTCCTTTGGAGCAGTTTTTCACCACTGCACCATGAAAAATTAAATAGTTAATATGCGCAACCTACCTTAATATCATATTTGTAAGGACCTCCTAAATGAGGATAAAGTTCAAGGACAATTACTGAGCAAGTCAAAAAAAGAGACCATAGCAAAATATAATCACATAAGCCAAAAAAGATATTGGGTGTCTTCCACCAATTTATTTAATATTTCCACCTAGAAGTGGTCATGCCTCTTCACGCAGCACATTATAATCTAATTTCATCTAGATTCATTTGTGATATAGCTAAGTTGTTTTCACAAAATCAACTAGATTTGTGTTATAACTAAACACATGCCTCTTCACATAAAACATGAGTCATGTTACAACTAAACACTTGTCTGCACCCATACGACTAGACAGATAAGATGAAATCAGTATTGTGGTATGTAGCATCAAAACAGAAGCATATATAAACATATACACGAAGGAAAGAATCATAATAAATTATTATCAGGAAAAAAAAGGGAGCTAGAACAACCTAGGCTTGCCTAACATGCTGCTTGCCAGTGCTATGGCTAAGTTGTTGGAGGCCCTATGCAAATTCTTAAAGGAGCCCTTAAATCTCGAACTTATTTTTTGAAATAATAAAAAATTTGCAACTGTATTACACTGAGCAGCCCACTTGCATTGTTTTTCCCAAAAATAATTTTGCTTGTTAACGAGATTCGAACTTAGGATCAACAAAATCATAGGCCCAATAATCTAACCAGTGCTATATACTTATTTTTCTATTTCTTAATTGCAACAACTGATAGATATACTCTATTTCGGGGCTTCTGTTTTTTGAAGTCCTGCACCGTCGCACACTGTGCGCGGGCTCAGCTGCGCCCCTGCTCCTTGCACAACTTACCTCTTAAAAATACAAATGACAGAGGTCATGGATGAGACATTCAGCTGGAGCATCCCTTCCCAGACAAGTTCACCCTTCAAAGGGGCCACGAAAACCATAAATATTACACGTCATAATTAAATATTAATAAAAATATATATATCATCACTATATACTAATAAAATAAATTATATCTACGGAGACGAAATGAATGAATGATAAAAAATATATATTGTATAAAATTCAGTAAGTAAATTGAAAAACAAAAAGTACATTAAATAAAATAAAACAGAGTAGAATTTAGTGAATAAATTTGTAATTTATCTATTTTTCTCTTGAGATATACTTTCTCTATTAGTTTAATTAAAGCAAAATACAACATTTCAATATTTAGCTTTTTTAATTATTAAATTTAATGTAAAATACAACGTTTCATTATTCAGGTTTTTTCCACTCTTATTTTAATTTATAAAATAATATATTTGTTGGTGTAGATTACTTTCTAATGACATAAAATTTATGTGTTCTCTACGTAAATTTTTTTATTTATATTTTTAAAATGATAAAAATTCTATAATTTATTTTTGTGTTATGTAGATGATATAATTTTTTTCTTAACATTCAAAGATATTGATACACTTTTCATATTATTTTTGTCACACAAACAATTTATATTTGATTTAAATCACTTAAAAACACAATCCTAAATCTAACACCCCTAAAATTATAAATCATTTTAATTTATAATATCCACTATTCAATCAATATGAAATCAAGATAGACAATTCTTTTTACTTTCCTACGGTTGAATTTTTGTTTTTTTAAAAAAATACATCATCATTGAAGGATAAAAAAGAATTTGTTAGTATTTTCTATAAAATAAAATTTTAGAATCGTTTTATATTTTTAAAATAAAAATATTTAATCCTAACGTCATTAAATATGTAACATTGAAATTATGAAAAAACTAAAAATTAAGTGACTAAATTAAAATTTTGAAAATTTAATAACTAAAATAGGAATAAAAAAGTTGAGTGGTGAAATTATAATTTAGGGTATATTATACAAATGACCACTAATGTTTGAGTAAGTTTTTTTTTTCTCACTGAAGTTTCAAAAGTAACAAATTGATTACTAATGTTATTGATTTATATCAAATTAGTCACTTGACATTAACTGCTGTTACTGCGAGTAATGGAAAGTTGACATGACATGTTAACTGATGATTGGCACCATTTGACTATCATTTTGACAAATTTCTTTATCTGTACACTTTTTAACTCTTCAAATCCCACAATTTCTCTTTAATCTTCTCTCCAATCTTCATGCTATGTGCATGCACTGCTCTAAGAAAGAAATCAAGAAAACAATGTTCCAATTGAGGGCCAACCATTACGCCATACCACAGTTCTCTGGCAATATCATTTTTGTTTCTCTTATCTAATTTGAAATTTGGTAAAAAATGCTAAAATGAATATCTTGATTCAAGCAATGGTAATTCTTTCTCGCATGCTTGCCTCCTTTTTAGGTTCAAACAAACATTACCTAAGTTATCTTAATCGCTTGACTGAATCATTGTTTTGAAGTCCATTATGAAATCATCAAGATGTTTTGTGACTTCTTGTAAGATGAACCATTATGGAACTTCAACTTACAACCTCATTTGTCACTAAAATCATGGAAGACCCTCTACTTTTCTATCTCATGATTAATGCTTTGCTTTTGCTTGGTCAACCGAACAACCTAAAGGTTTTATAGGGTGGTGATTTAAGTAAATAGGGGTGGTCACAAATTTTCAAAAGTGATGTTGAAGCAGTATACGTGGTGGGATATGTGATATATGCACCAGATTCCATCTAGTATCGATATAGTTCATCCCAATATCAATACTCAAACCCAAAAATGGCTTACCTATGCTCGATAAAACACTCAAAACCACTCTGAAAGACATAGTTTGGTTCTTAATCATGTGTTAAAGTTGTAGGAAGTTATTTAGGGTCTTAAAGTGTCATAAAAACACATTTTTTTACATCAATTAGTCATTTATGGCGTGAATCAAGTTTAAACCCTAAAATGCTCAACTACACAAATATTAGTAATTCATCATATTTATGAAAGCCTTAACACTCCAAAGGATTAGAAATACACTACCTTGATACTTGAATCTAAAAATGAAGCTTTTTGCTTAGCCACACTCATTTCCTTTGTGATTTGGATGAAACCCACACTTTTTCCTTAGCTTGAACGAACCAAAACTTTGATTCAATAAAACGATGTTGCTGGAGGGATCATGAACGAAATTGAAGCATGAAATATTCCCAAAAACTTAATTTTGATTTATGGATATTTGAGAGAAAATAGAGGGAGAGAAGGAAGAAATAAAGGGAAGAAGGAGATAAAGAAATAAAAAAACCTTCATATTTTAAAAATAAAAAAATTGCATTATAGGTCCTCCCTCATTTTTGACAATTTAAAAACATCATTTCTATAGCTAATTGGGCCCAATTCTAGCCGAATCAAGCCCAACGACTTAAATTATGAAATTCATGGGGTTTACATACCTCACGGGTAAAGAGGTATGTAAACCCGAAACTACTAGCCTGAAATTTTAGGTGTTACAAACCCGCACACCATAGTCTCATCTATGTAAGAGATAGGTGAAAAATTAGAATATAAATCGATGATAAAAAGTAAGAATTACAAGATTCACCTAGTGAAAAATCTCTTTTCGAAATGGATAGTAGAAGGAATTGTCGCATGAACGTATTGCACAAGGAAAAGAATGGATGGTTAGAGAGGTTGGTAAGATTGAGGCCAAGAGAGTGGAGGTTTGTGATTCAAGGTTAGGAGACGTTGATGATAATATATTTGGGTTTGAAAATTTGAGATTAGAGTTTAGGAGTAAAATTTGAAAATTTAAATATTTTATTTTATTTTAAATATTACAGGTCATAATTAAATATTAATAAAAATATATATATCATCACTATATACTAATAAAATAAGCTATATCTTCATAGTGAAAATAAATGAATGATAAAAAAATTATATTGAATTAAATTCAATAAGTAAATTGAAAAATCAAAAGTACAATAAATAAAATAGAAGATAGAGTAGAATTTAGTGTAGAAGTCATTTTTGGTATCTATACTCATAAGGGTATCGATACTTGACCCTAGGGTATCGATACTACGAGTAGAGTATCGATATTACCCACTTTAGATGATTAGTTTCGACCCAATTAAGGTTTGTAAGAGTTAAGGATGGTTCGTAATGGTAGAACTTAGTCCGTGAGGAACGTAAATGACCAAAGGAGCCTAGAGACACTCGTAGGAGTGAGTTACAACCATAGTAACTATAGCAAGCGTAATGTGTCCAAGTATTTTCAGTTGAACACGTAGCGAATACCTAAGAACGAAGGACCATTTGTAACACCCATAACCCGTATATGCGAACCAATACGAGTTACATATGTCACATCAAAAATTCAAATCATTTCTTTAATTGAACTGAGTAAAATTTTGTTTCATTCAAACATCACCAGTTTCATAACTTGAACAATTATTATAAAATAATTACTCAGAGAAAAATTGTAATATAATATTTTTGGTTACCATTTCAAAATCATTTTCAATTAGTGATAGACAATTCTTTTCTGTTTCATAAAATAAATAAGACTATCTAACATGTTTAATTTAAAACCCACATTAATTTTTTAAGCATAGTTTAATATCATAATATTTATTCATACTATTAATTATATTTAATACTAACTATATTAAGAAATTGCAGACATTTCATTCTCATATACATGCCAGCTAGAAATTTTAGAACACAGTAGGAGTCATCATTGTTACATGTAAATATTTCCATGGTGATTTGTTGAAAACATTTTTGTTGAAAACATTTTGATATTTCGATATAACAAATCAAGTTAAATGAATTTTAAGATTTTCCAAATGATTTTCTAAGTATATTCGATATAATTATTCAAATATCAAAACATTACTCCAAATATTTCAAAAATCATTTTTAATCCTTACTTAAGTGTAAAATTTTGTTTTAATCTTAAAACAATTTCAAAATAATCTTTCAAAGTATTTGAACCATTTCAAAGCCAAAAATTCCAGATTGCTCAGAGGGAACCGATTCCCCCCCAAGGGGGAACCGATTCCCCCCCAAGGGGGTACCAATTCCCCCTGAATGGTTTGGCTCCGAGATTTCCAGAATGCTCAGAGGGAACGATTCCCCATAGGGGGTACCGATTCCCCCTTGTATAACGGTCGAAATATTTGAATTTTACACTTAGGGAACCGATTCCCCATAGGGGGTACGATTCCCCCACGCTCCAAGCTGTTTTATTAATTGTTTTCACACTAAAACGGCTATATGATCTTCACTAATCATTCCCAACATTCAGAAGTGATTAAGGTGTATTTAAACAAGTTCTGAAGCCCTTGATCAATAAGAAATTATAGAGAAACAAGAGTGAAAGCATCAAACACAAAGTTTGTGCAAATCAAGCCAATTTTCCTTTCAATATTCATTTTGCTTTCAAATAACACCATTTGTGCTCATTTGTAATTATTTGTGAGTGTTCTTTTCTTGTTCTAGAATTGTGCAAACATCTTACCTTGTGAGGTTTTCCTTGTAAGTTTGCAAATTTGTAATCTTCTCTTTGGCAAAGAGTGTTCTCAAGAATTGGGGTATATTCTTGAGGGTGTTGTAAGGTTATCTCTTTGGCCTCAAAAGAAAGAACAAATTAGTGATTTTGTTGGAAAATCCTTAGTGTGGATAGCTAAGGTAGTGGACGTAGACTTTGATTGAGAAAGTCGAACCACTCTAAATCGTTGTGCAATTACTTTCAATTTTCTGCAAAAGCTTCCACCAAATTTTTAATTGCCAATTCACCCCCCTCTTGGCCAATTCCATCAATCGATTAACTTAACAATTGGCATCAGAGCCTAACTCATTTGAAGGTTTAATCGCCTCTTGAGTCGATCCGGGAAGAGTTAAATCGATAAAGATGGCGTCCACTTCCGGTTCATTCTCCATGGAAGAATCCAGACCAATTGACGTGCCTCCACACTTCAATGGAACAAATTATTGT